TCTACAGTTCTGTGACTTCAAACAGTGGCCCTGTAACGCCTCATTGGGCGGCTATTGCTAGCCAGTGTCTTGTTTTTGGATATTGTGGAAACTTTGGGATTTGTAGTTACAACGGTACCGATCCAATTTGCTTGTGTCCGTCTCTCAACTTTAATTTTGTTGATGTGAATGATAGAAGAAAAGGCTGCAAGAGGAAAACTGAGCTAAGTGATTGCTCTGGCAACATAACCATGCTTGATTTGGATCACGCCAGGTTGATTACAAACTTACATGACCCAAACTTGGAGCTTTTCTTTGCGGCTAGTTCGTCTTGTAGATATAATTGTCTTCTTAGGAGTACTTGTATTGCATCTGTCTCCATGTCTGATGGGACAGGCACTTGTTGGCTAAACCAACCTGGTCGCTTCATTACAGGGTACCAGAGCTCATCCGTCCCGGGTACTTCTTATCTTAAAGTGTGCAGTCCAGTGATGCTTCCATTGCAACAAAAGACGACGATAACAACTCAAAAGGGCACTTGACTAAGTTAAAACTCATACTCGGTACCCTCCATTTAACAATACTCTCATGTTCATGTATATAGGCACCAAAATTTAAAGGATTCTTCTCTTATTACAGGAGTGTCAGCAGCTTCAGTTGTGGCGATCATTATTTTGGTCGCGATAATGGTGAGAGCAAAGAAGGCGAGAAAGAGTGATTGGAATAGGGAAAACGCTGAAGCTGTTGTTATGGTGAGACAATATAGTTACGCAAAAGTAAAAAAGATGACAAACTCATTTGCGCATGTTCTCGGGAAAGGAGGATTTGGAACTGTCTATAAAGGAAAGTTACTTGATGGTAACCAGGATGTTGCAGTGAAGATCTTGAAGGAGTCAGAGGGGAATGGAAAAGACTTCATCAATGAAGTAGCTAGCATGAGTAGAACATCTCATGTTAATATTGTTTCTTTGCTTGGATTCTGTTACGAAGGGAACAAGAGAGCTATAATCTACGAATTCATGCCAAATGGATCCCTCGACAAGTTTATTTCTGAGAATATGTCAACAAAGATGGACTGGGCAAAGTTATATGACATTGCGTTAGGTATCTCTCGCGGCCTAGAGTATTTGCACAATCGTTGTGTATCAAGGATTGTGCATTTTGACATAAAGCCGCAAAACATACTCATTGACCAAGATCTTTGCCCTAAGATTTCAGATTTCGGTCTTGCTAAGCTCTGTAAAAATAAAGAGAGCATCATGTCAATGTTAGACGCGAGAGGAACGGCAGGATACATTGCCCCTGAAGTATTTTCCAAGAATTATGGAGGTGTTTCGCATAAGTCGGATGTGTATAGTTATGGGATGGTGGTTCTTGAGATGATTGGAGCAAGGACTATAGAAATAGTTGAACACTCTGGATCCAACAATAGTTCAATGTACTTTCCAGATTGGATCTATAAGGATTTTGAACGGGGAGAAAACATGAAGATTTTCGGAAATCAGCTAACCGAAGAAGAAGAGAAAATCGCAAAGAAAATGGTATTGATTGGTCTATGGTGTATTCAGACCAATCCATCTGATCGTCCACCGATGATCAAAGTCATTGAAATGTTAGAGGGGAAACTGGAGGCTATCCAAGTCCCACCTAAACCTGTCTGGTTTTTATCCGCAGTAACGGTTCCAGAAACTCTTGAAGACAATCACGAGACTTCGAGTTTCTCAAACCAAAGTCAGTTTGAGAGAGGAAACTCAGCTTGTGAAGCTACTTCAGAAGTGGTTCAACAGTCAAGATAGTTCAAGGTCCTCGTGAACTAAAGTCAACAGGATGGTGTATCTCTTACGTACAACTTGTCAAGATCTTGAGGTATTCTCTTGATAGTTGGTTTTATCGAATGCAAATTTCGTTGTGTTGATTCTATGCTTACGAGATGATGTTTTTAGGGCAGTCACAAGCTATTTATAGGCCTTGATAAACATTTCTATTAAAATGTATATTTAATGTGGTAGTAATATTTACACATGTTAAATGGGAGTCATGAATTTCCAAACAAACACTTGACATGGTTGGAAAGAATGGATAATACTTGAGACAAATTTATTGTTTCTATAGAGCAAACCTCATGATGGTAGAAGGTAGCGGTTAAGCTCTATAATGAGTCAAAGGAAAACAGTTAAGACTTCATCAATGGCAATCTTGGTCCGAAAGTTTCTGACTTTGGATGGCAAAGCTATGCGCGAAAAGAGAAAACATCTTGTTATTGCTAGATACAACTAGGTTACATTACCTCTGATGTATTTTCAAGAATCTATGGTAACGTGTCTCACAAATCAGATGTATACGGCTATGGAATGTTGGTAATGGAGATAATCGGAGCAAGGAACAGAGAAACATCTCTAAACCCGGAATCTAACACAATCTCAATGTACTTTCCAGAATGGATCTATAAGGATCTTGAAAATGGAAACTACATAAACCTTCTCGTGGAGGAAATAACAGTAGAAGATGATTCTTGTGGGTGTATCAAGTTTTCCCATCAAATCGCCCACCGATGAACAAAGTCATTGAGACGCTTGAAGGGAGTGTGGAAGATCTTGAAGTCCCTCGTAAGCCTGGTTTGTCGTCAATTACATTATCATTAGAGATATTTGATCTAATCCTATTAAAATGATATTTAGCTTGATTCAATCATTTTTTTTTTTTTTGAAATATGAAGATTTTTGTTAATCTTTAAAACAGAGTTATTTTATGGTGGAAATAGCAAGACTCGTCCAATTGTGGATGTTACAAGTACAAGAAATCTTATCTCTTTGCATTTAATCGAGATTTTTAGACTAATTGGCTTTTTGTTTTCGGGAAAAAAATCCTAGTAAAGTCAATGGAGATTAGTCCAAAAGTCCATTGTTGTCCCACAAGTGTGAAACAGAGAACCTTTATGTGCTTCTTGACTTCATTTTCTTTTGTAGTGTTTTCTTTATAATTTTCCTCTTCTTATCAAATATCTCCAAGAAACGAAAACAAACTATACATTAGAAAAGGAGTGATGGATTCTTCAGCACTAGGGTTTAGTTTTGTGATATTGGTCATAATCTTGTTTCATAACCTTCCTTGTACTCTAAGTAACCCAGCTCTCTTGTCATGCGACTCTGTTTTCGAGTGTGGAAACGTCAAAGCAAAATTCCCATTCTGGGGAGAGAATCGTGGCGAACCTTGTGGTCATCCATCTCTAAAGCTTACCTGCGACAGAGTTTCAAACAAAACCTCTCTAAATATCTCCAACATCTTGTTCAATGTCCTTCACATGGACAACACACTCAAAACTCTTAAACTTGTAAGACAAGATTATTCTCTTTCTTTCTGCTCTGTTAAATCATTCACCGAAACAAAGTTTCCTACTAAACTCTTTGAGCAATCACTCGATTACAAGAACCTCATCGTTTTCTCTGACTGCGACCCTCACTTTCATTACCTCGAGAATTTCACTTGTTCAGAGGGAGGGATTGGCTCGGTGTATCACAGCGGAAATTATTACCGGTTATGTCGAACGATATCCAAAGTTGTCGTTCCTGCGGGTTTTGTACCTGAAAAAGAAGCTTGGAATATAGAAAATGTCTTGAAAAAAGGAATCGAAGTGAAGCTGAAGATCAATGAGAGACCATGTCAAAAGTGTTTAAAAACTGGTGGATTTTGCAGCTTCGACAAGTCTGCAACACAGTTTTGCTGCAACACAGTTTTGCTGCAAGGAAGACTTTTCTTTTTATCCAAATAGGATAAAAGAGATGTCGGGTGCATTACTTGGAATCAAATGCGTTGAAATTGTTCCTTCTGATGGTAGTGAGTTCATGCCTTTGGACAGAATTCCTCCACCTAGCTTTGAGTTTGTCATGACGGGTAATCGAGGTTAGTTTCCAAGCAACTTATGTTGTGGTTGTTTGATTTTAGTGTTTGAAATTTGTTTTAACAATAAATCTCATGTGCAGCGTTATTGCTCAGTATATGTATGGGATGTTTGATTGTAACAATGCTCATATACTTTTTAAACAAGATAGAAGCATTAAAACATCCAAGAGTTGAGAATCTTGAGGAACTTGTACTGTTGAAACGGTATAGCTATGCAGAGGTAAAGGAAATCACAAACTCGTTCGCTCGAGAAATTGGGAGAGGAGGATTCGGAATTGTCTATGAAGGAAACCTCAGTGATGGCCTCAAGGTTGCAGTGAAGGTCTTAAAGGAGTCAAAGAAAAACGGTGAAGATTTCATTAACGAAGTGGCGAGTATGAGCAGAACATCTTATGTTCATATTGTTTCTCTGCTTGGATTTTGCTATGAAGGGTCCAAAAGAGCAATTATATATGAATTTGTGGAGAATGGATCACTTGATAAGTTCATATCGAGCGAGGCCTCGCTGCGCGTTGACCTGAGAAAACTATATGAGATTGCGCTTGGAGTTGCACGAGGCCTTCAGTACTTGCATTATGCTTGCAAGACAAGGATTGTTCATTTCGACATAAAACCACAGAACATACTATTGGGAAAAGATCTTTGTCCAAAGATTTCTGATTTCGGACTTGCCAGGCTCTGTGGGAGTAAGGAAAGTATATTGTGGATTTCAGAGACGAGAGGGACCATCGGGTACATCGCACCGGAAGTGTTTTCAAGAATGTATGGGAGAGTCTCTCACAAGTCGGATGTGTATAGTTATGGAATGATGGTTCTTGAGATGGTTGGAGCAAGAAAAAGAAATCATGTATCCAACAACAGCAGTTCAATGTACTTCCCTGATTGGATCTACAAAGATCTTGAAAAGAAAGATTGTAAAAGGCTTCTCGGTGATCAGATAACTGAAGAAGACGAGGATGAAGAGTTTACGAAGAAGATGGTTCTTGTGGGGTTGTCATGTATTCAAGCAGGCCCATCAGATCGCCCGTTGATGAACAGAGTTGTTGAGATGATGGAGGGAAGCCTAAGTTCTCTTGAAGCTCCTCCTAAGTATCTTTTGCATTTATCTGCATCCCCTATGCCTCCATCTTCTTGCCCTGAAGACGAGACTTCAGTCACCTCCGAAGAAAGTGCATAAGTTTCATGAAAGAAAGAATTGTGTGTGGGTGTGTTTCAATGTGTTTGTCCAATTAATAAACTCAATATCAGAGTTTTAAAAAGAACAGGGGAAATGGGATTGAAGCTGTGAAATATAGTCTAATAGAATTTTTGTTGTTCATGTTTCTCTGATTTTACCATAAGATAATTGACAAATTTAATATACATACAGTTAAATAAATGTAAAAAGTCTACCATGAGCTAA